TCAGTTGGCAAATATTTTTGATTTTAAGGAATTTGAGATGTCATTTGATCCATTTTCTATACCCAAAGAAGCATAGTTTTAATTTTTCTTTAATATCTTCAAATGCTATCTAGTTACTATTATTTTGGCCTCATCTCCTTTGATATTTCAACCCATAATCTCATGTGACTTTCCCTGATCACTTATCCACATTTTTACAAAGATGATGGCATAATTTTTCTTGCTTTAGCTTAAGGCTTCACACATATGACATCCCTTTCCCAAGGTATATTCATTACATATATTTAGTCTCGGTTCCAAAGAGTCTTTGTTTTTTTGTGTATTGTAGTTCTAACTATACACTTGGATCATTCTTTCACATGCAGTTCACTTTTTTCCTTTTTCTTTCTTTCCTTCTTTCTTTCTTTTCTCTCATTCTTTTTCTTTTCTTTCTTTCTTTCTTTTTTTTTTTTTTTTTATAACATTCTCGCAAATACAATGATACTTCAAAAAAAAATCCAGGAGAAATTGAATCAAAAGATAAGTTCATTTTGATACAAGAAAAAAAAAAAAAACACCTGAAATCCATGGGAGTTGGCACTGTGGCATAATGGGATAAGCCAATGCCTGCAGCACCGACAGCCCACATGGGTGCTGGGTTGAGTCTTTGGTGCTCTACTTCCAGTCCAGCTCCCTGCTAATAGCATGGGAAAGTAGTGGAAGATGGCCTAAGTTCTTCAGCCCTGCACTCACATGGGAGATCCGTATGAGGCTCCTGGTTCCTGACTTCTGCCTGGCTCAGCTCTGGTTGTTGCAGGCATTTGAGGAAAACATCAGTGGATGGAAGACTCGCTGTCTCTGTCTCTCTGTATCTCTCTCACAATTTCTCCCTCTCTCTTTCTCTATAACTCTGCTTCTCAAATAAATAAAATAAATCTTTAAAAATATTTGAAATCCATGCCTTTAAGGAGTTTTCATAAAGTCCATGGAAGATGTTTATTACAAAAACATATACATGCCTGCTCTGTTCAAAGTCTAGTTTATTTTGGTCGGTGAGGGATGACCAGTTTCCTTTCTCTTGCTTTCTGGAGTGGCAACAAACGACATACTTTTGTTGAAAAATTGGGAGAAAAAAATATCAGCCCATGATACTAACAGGTGTGAACCACTTAATAGAGTTTTGCTGATACATTAAAATTGAATGAAAGGGATGGGTGTTATGGTACTGTGGGTTAAGCCACTGCTCCAGATGTGAGTCCCACCTCCACTTCCAATTGTTTCCTGCTAATGTGTTTGGGAAGCAATAGATAATGACCCAAGTACTTGAGTTCCAGTCACCTACATGGGAGACAAGGATGGAATTTCTGATGCCTGCTTTTGGCCAGGCCCAACCCCAGCCCCAGTACCAGCTGTTGTGGGCATGTAGGGAGTAAAACAGAAAATGGAAGATTTTTCTCCCTCTCCATCATGAAGTCACTTAAATAAATAAATCTTTCGAAAACTTAAATGATAACCAACACACTCATAGATAAAACTATGGGCATGATTCATTCATTCTTGCAGCAAATGCTCATTCTGCACCTACTTGAGTGCTGGGCACACACATGCATTGGCTCATTCAATCCACACATGAACCTGATGATACAGGCAGTATTCACATCCTTTTATCAATAAGCAAACTGAGTGCTAGAGCTTAAGCATTAAGTATTTTGAACATCGCTCCTATCTGCACCAGCCCTTTGCTCTCTTATATTACACAGTATTTCTTCCTTGCTGAGTACACTGCCTGTGACCAGGCAATCCTTGCCCCTGCCTGGGTGCCTTCTCGTTACATCTTCTCTGTGAACTTCCTGCTACTTTTCTATTTATTAATAAAATCATCACAGACATTCTCACCAAACTCAGAACACTTCTGAGAGTGAAAGGAGGGAGTGTTACTAATCATGCCTAGGGACATCAGGCTAGGGAGCTGGTCTCAGAAGACGGAAAGCCTTCCCTGACACCAAGGACGACAACGAGTCCCTTCTCTGTACTTCCCCGTTACTTCTCTACAACATCTGTGTGCATGCAGTTCAGATCTCATTGCACGGTTTTTAGCCCCCTACCACTCTTCTATGTTGGACTATGGGCACTTGGAGGGCAGAGACTGGCTTATCTTTGTGTCTGCTGCACTTAGCATATGCCTAGCACATTTTATTTACTCAGTGACATTCAACAAACGATTAAGTGAACCGAGTGCAACACTGTGAGAACTGAAAGTTATTTCAGATATCTCACCATTCCATTATTCTGTGGTCATATTTATTCCACAGGCTTCCATTTCTAAATCAATTTCTTCTGTCCATGAAAATAACCGATCCTCCAGGGGCACTGGACAAAAGCTTCCGTGAACTAGATCACACTCCAGTTTCCTATTTCTCCCTGAATTTTTTTCAGTCCCTCTCGTTTGAATAACTTGAAATGAAGTTCATTTTGTGAGAGCATGGATAACAGCTAAAAGCTTCATGAAATTGAATGGTCAAGCCCTTTCTCTCTCCCCAGCCCTGGCAGTCCTTTTCAACAAGGAGATGATGTCCAACCTGGTTTATGTTTTCAGCCAATGACAGATTGTGGGTGATCACTTTGCAGGGGACTGGCTCCAGCAGGCTAAGGAAATGCTGGGTGGAGTGGCAGACACAGGGTGGTCGTTCTTTCCTTTTCAGTCCAGGGCTTGAAAGGGAACTCAGGACTCTTGTTCCCTTGCAAGTGAGACAGATTAGGCCAGAAATGAGGAGAGACTCTGAGTTTGCTTCTGTTATTTCCTAGCAGACTAGCTTCCAGAAAGAGATTAAGAATTATTCTTTCTTTATGCAGTTGTGTGAGACCCAAGTGAGATATGTGAAATCTCAGTTATAAATTGGAAAACACTTTGCACACTACCTATCAACCCTGTGCTACATTCTGGAAACTATGGTACTTCCCCTTCATGGCAAGTTTGTTTGACTGTTTCCATAATTAATTGGAAAGGTCAAAAGGCGGAAAGAGGTGGAAAGAATTGGCCTCAATGTGCCCCAAAGTCGCCTGTGAAGAGGTCTTTGATACGGAAAATCACACATAGACTTTATTTTTTAAGCTCAAGGTAGGTAAGAGAAGACACCTTAAATATAAGATGACAGGAGAAAAATAATGGAAGCGACAAAAGAATAATTATAGTAAACTCACTGAATAAATGAATGCTTTGTAGATTATCATACATGTATGTACATGCATATATTTGGGTACTTCAAAAAGTTTGTGAGAAATGGAATTAAAAGATAACTTTATTTTGTTGTGCAATATTTTGGAATCCACATATAGTTTATTCACATCATACTTTGTCCATGAACGTTTTGAAGACCCTGATAAGCATGTGGTTCAAAAAATTTTTTGTGCTAAAATAAATGTCTTTGAGTTCCATTTTACATGAACTTTGTGAAGTAGCTTTGTTATTTGTACATGTTCTCTAAATATACAATACTTGTATGCTGTTTGGATATGAAGTATTTTTCTCTTGTCATATTTATATTTGGCTATTGTTGAAGCCATTTTAGATGATCTATGGGAGCAACTATTAACATAATATGAAAACCTGCAACACCAAACTGCGGAAGATGCTATGTGAAAACGGAAAGCACTATTGAACTTTTCTTTTAATCCATACAGAAAATATTACCCAGTCATAGCAAACTGAATCATATCACGTCACTAAAATTACTTCAGGCTAATTTATTGTATAAAATGAAGGCATCAGATAGGTTGACACAAAAAATAGAAGGTTATAGCTAAATATAGTAGTGTGATATAGGTCTCTTAGAGCATTTTATTTTCCACAGCTTATTAGTTGTATGATTTGAATTATCCATAAGATAACAATCACTGATTTTGTTTCAATTAATTGCATAATAATTTTGTTCTAGTTCAACAATTACATAACCTAGATAGATCCTTAAGCTCTTCCAGTAATCGATTAATGTTCCTTATAATGCTCACATAGAAGAAATTATGTAATTTCAGCTGCACAGTATTCTATTATTCACCCTCTGAAAGAAACATTACATTATTAATATCTTTTGCACATTTCAGACTTGCTTTGAAAAAATCTGGTATAATATATTTTTATGACCATTAAGCAAATTAATATTAATGTTAGATTAAGTGGTTCCAAGAACTTTTGGCTTGAAACCTCTTCTGAATAGTTCTGAACAGAATGTCCCTATTGAAATGTATCTCATGAGTCTTGTCTCCCAGATACTCTTTAATGTTACTTGAGACATTAAACCTGAAACAAGTAACTTAAATATGTACTGGAGTAAGTAGAGGATGGAAACAAAACATTGAGAAAATATTAAATTATTTAAAATGAATTTGTACTTAAAGAGCATAACAGTGTTGCATTTTCTTCAGAGCTAATACTGCTCTCCTCAGCAAGTTATATTATAGTGTCTATTCCCCACTTTACATAATTTAGGCAATTCAGTTCTTTGGCCACATGGTAGGAAATATGCCACATGCAATATTTAAAATCCATATTTTACAATACTCCATTGCATGCCATTCTCGGGCAATGAACCTGCATTTGTAACAGTCCATTTGTATTAGTGGTTTCAAACGCTAATGTAGTTTCTCAAAACATGTACTTTCCAACCGTTATGTAGATTGTAAACTGTGCTTTTAAACCCAGTGTATGTTCTCAGTGTCAGATAATTGAAAAGAAACAGGCTTGTGGATATGCTCTTCTAGAAAAACATATGAAGCACCATACATCTGCTATTTTCTCCATGACTCCTCTTTATATTTTACCCATTAGCAGCCGCTGAACACTGGTTTTCACTAAACATTCTTTGAGGTGCGACGTTCATTTAATGAAAGGCTTGTATAATACCAACTGCAGTAACTATATAGTTTAAGCAACTCCATTATTTAGATGGTTATTAGAATTTCTTTGGTTCTTTTCGCATTCAAAGTTTTGTTTTGATTTTGTTTTTTCAATTGCTTGTCCACAGCTTTGGGCATTCGAATTTAATAATGTCACCACGGAAGTGCCAGGCAACTCACATCTTCTGTGAAAGTGCTTCTCAACTGGAGCCACTCTGCTGCACCCTAGAGAAGGTATTCGATATTTGACAATGCTTGGAGACACAGTGATTGTTATGACAGAGGAATGCTTCTGACACCCACTAGGTAGAGGCCAGGGATACTCCTCATATCCTACAATGTCCAGGACAGCCCCCATGGAAAAGCATGAGCCAGCACCATGCCAACAATGCTGTTGTTGAGAAACCTTGATCTATAATATACATAGTTTGAGTTTGCAGCTTTGGTCACTTTAATGATGAACTGTGAGATGACAGATGAGATCAACTATGGAATGATTCACTTAAGTAATAAAGGTGGCTCAAATTCTGTCAAGCAAGAACTCCATATTTTTAAAATCACTTATGGTTTGTATAATGCAATGTGATTACTCAACTCTATATAGGGATTATAGTGCTATTCCAGTTGGCTTGGGTGTGGTGTTCCAAAGGAGAATTAAGAGCCCTGTTGGTCACAAGCTTCCAACTCCATTAATTCAGAATAAGTGTACACTGCATTATGCAAAGTTAAGGGTTACAATTACTCTGTATAGTAGAATAATAAATTCTTCAAACTACATATAAATACTACCACTCATCATGGTTAAAACTGAATAGCACTAAGAAAAATTAGTGATACATTAATTAGGATTTTATTTATCCTTTCTTGTGCAAAGCTAATTATTTATTTGCAAGATGCTGCATCTTCATTAAAATCATTAGTATTATAAGTAGATGGAAATATTAATTTAATAAATACAAGGGGACTTCACTGTTGTGTTTCAAGCATTTTTATGGACAAGTGAAGATGAATTTTTCACAAGATAATGTTACCTTTTTCTACTTGAGCTTTCTTTAGGGTAACAAGGACAATTGTATCTTATTCATAGTAGCTGCTATTTTTCTAGTAGTCTTACTAGGTATCAGGCAAGCATTTTATATATAGATATATATTTACAGCATAAATATGTAAAATTATGTACAGGTATGTATAAATCTTGGGGGATAAACACAACTTTAAAACCATATAGTCATCACCTCAATTTTTTTTAAAGAAAGGGAGTCTGTGGCCAAAGTATCTTCTAAACCAGAAAGTAATGTAAAACTAATGAAGTCTAAGACTTGGCATGATTCAGTACTCTGGTCATTATCTTTGTCTCCCTGATTGTGATTCATTAGGACTATGGCTCAGCAGGCAGTGGTAGAGCACAGCAGGGGTGTCTCAAAAAGATTTTGAGAGTCACAAGGAGAACAGGGAGCCAGAGGATTTCAGATGGTCCCAGGTAACTCAATAGGTAGAGAATCCCCCACACACCCTCCCCCCAGGGTGGGGGGCAATGAGAGAAGGGGAACCTGGGGCTGCTTCAGTTTGAGTAGAGGCAGAAGACAAAGCCAGCAAGTTAGAAGTGTCCAGAGAAAAAGAAGTCTACCTAAACCAGATATGTGGGAGGAGTTGGTCTGGGTTCTCCTCCAAGCCACTAAATGACATTCTGTGCTGCCAAGACCCACCTTTTAAACTGTACCTGTGTTTTCATGAAAAAGGCAAGAAATATGCATGCAAAGGATTCAGATAAACTTAGAGGACATAAACTATCTAATGTTTATGAGGATTTGAACACTAGAGGGAAAATGATATGTGAATACATTTCATTTTTAAAATATCACATTGTTTAGCTTTTTAAAAAGTCAATGAACTTTATTTTTAAGAGCAGTTCTAGGGGGCCGGTGCTGTGGTGAAGTGGGTTAAAGCCCCAGCCTGCAGCGCTGGCATCCCATATGGGCGCCGGTTCTAGTCCCGGCTGTTCCTTTTCTGATCCAGCTCTCTGCTAATGGCCTGGGAAAGCAGTGGAAGATGGCCCAAGTCCTTGGGCCCCTGCATGCATGTGGGAGACCCAAAAGAAGCTCCTGCTTCCTGGCTTCGGATCGGCACAGCTCCAGCCATTGCGGTCATTTGGGGAGTGAACCAATGGAATGGAAGATCTCTTTCTCTCTGACTATACCTCTCTCTGTAACTCTGTCTTTGAAATAAATAAAATAATTCTTTTTTTTTTTTAAAAGAGCAGTTCTAGCTACCCAGCAAAACTGATTAGAAGGCAAAGAGTTTGCATACATCTTCTATTGTAACCTCCATTTTTCCCAACATTCCCCTTCAGAGGGGGGTGCATTTACAGCAATAGATGAATCTATGTGGACACCTAAGAACTATCAGACTCTTAATATTGTCTATTCTATGGGTTTTGACAATGTATAATCATATGTATCCACCACTGTGGTATCATGGAGAAAAAGAGCTGTGCTAGTGGCTTTTAATTTTTTAAAGTATTTTTGCCTGCACAATTCATGCTAAGAGAATTCTGTTCAGCCAATACTGCCTGTATCTACCTCCAAAAAATGCTGTTGCTAAAAATAAAGCCTCTACTCTAAACTCCCACTTGTAGTTCCCACCACACTGAGTATTAATTGGATTTTTTCTTAAATTAACATTAAAGAATGGTTATGGAAAATGATATGCTTATTTAATGCTCTGCTCATTTGACATGATACCTTTCCAGAAATATCTGTAAGTAGATACAGGATTTTACACAGATTAAAATGTCAGCAGTTGATTTCATAAAGAAGCAATGCCACAGTTATTCCTCTTGCACTGTTCCATACTCAAACTGAGTTTCTGGGAACATTTCCAAATATCCCCGACAGTCTTTCTAGGTTAGTGACCAGGAATGTTTGCAAGTGACTAAATTTATATCATTTGGATAAAAACTCCATTTGTGTTTCAAGCTAGGTTAAAACAGAACAAAGTAGAGTAGAGAGTTGGCAATTATTCCATTACTTTATTGAATGTGGATGGCTGTAGAAGATACTTCAAACTACCAAATAGAATTCTTTTTGTCTCAATGATCTAATTTGCTAATCAGATAACTGCTAAGATTCCAACTTCATTTTTTTCTGAATAGAATTATTCATAATTTCTCAATATTTCCAGTATCAGCTACTTAAGGGAAATGTATGTAAATGTATCTACAATTTTTGCATTAAAGTTGTATTTCTCACTCAATATTGATGAAGTAAAATAAAACAGAAAAGGAACATAGTTACAGTGATTTTTATCCAGCTTCTCAAATGGCCAGTGTATATCGCCAGCATGGCGATTAAGATCATGTTCTAAAACTGGATTTGGAGACACTTGTGTAACTGTGAATTGTATTTTAAAAACCATTTAATTGTTATATAACACAGAACAAGTTCATGGTAATTACATGATACCTTAATAAGGCTGTTATTAAAAGAAGATCGGAGGCCTTAATAAATCAATAGCATTAGGCTCCTAGCTATAAAACCTGAAGGTAAGAACTGAGAAACATCTGAAGGAGGAGAGACAATCTGATAGCACTAATGCCTGTCCCCTCTTTTCTTTCCTGTTGTATGAAGCTGGGAGCCAGGAATTTAATCCAGGATTCTCATGTGGAGGTAGGAACCCAATTATTGAGTCATCATCACTGTTTCTTTGGGGCTAAAGTAGCAACAACCTGTAGCTGAGAGTTGGAGCAGGGCATTGAAACGAGGCACTCTTATGTGGGCCCTGGGCATCTATTTGTTGATACAGAACATCTCACCAGCTGTCTCCTTGGAGTTGCACCTTAGCCTGTCCTCCCACTACCCAGATTGTATTAATAACCTGTCTGGCCCCAGGAGATGACTTTTAAAAAGAGTAATAACTAATCTCTTATTTAGAATGCACCTGGAGCCTATTTCTAAGCCTTCTATTCCCTTCAGTTCTGTTCCTTAAAATCCAGTACAAATTAGTGGTATTTTAGGTGTCATTTCACTCACATTACCTCACTGACTGATGCTTTTAAAAACTGATTCATTGATTTACTCATTGACTCAACTTTTCTGTGTAACTACTGCCATGTTCCAAACATATTCATAGAAAGTAGAGGGGAGAGAAGTCCAAGACAATGTGGGCTCTAATTCAAAAGTCTTACAGCAGCTAATATGGCCCAATCCACTTGGATCTACACATCTTCAAGTCTATGCATTATGTCCCAAGTAAAAAAAAAAAAATTCAAACCCCTTTAAGCTGTTTCCAATTTTTCCATGTGGATAATCCTTCCCACTTTTCATTTCATGGGTCAAGGGGTAGAGATTAGAATTGGCTCCTTCTGGAACATCATTCCACTGCCATTCTCAACTTCTCCTCTTTTGGAATCAACATCATTTTCCAATCCTACATTTTGTTTTCTATCCTAACATTGTCATCTCTCATTTTCCAGGCTACTCCCCTGCTTGCTTCTGCTTTAGTCTTTACCTTTTCTGATTTCCATATCCCTGTTGTAGATCTTTTCAAAATTAGCTTTACTTCAGAAGAAAGTGGCCCAAGTCCTTGGGCTCTTGCACCCATGTGGGAGACCTGGAAGAAGCTCCTGGCTCCTGGCTTCGGATCGGTGCAGCTCTGGCCATTGCAGCCAGCTGGGGAGTGAACCAGTGGATGGAAGACCTCTCTGTCTCTCTCTCTGTCTCTCTGTCTCTCTCTCTCTCTGCCTCTCCTCTCTCTGTGTAACCCTGCCTTTCAAATAAATAAATAAATCTTTTAAAAAAAGAAAGAAGTTGATTTACAAAAACAAACAAACAAACAAACAAAGTTAGCTTTGCTTTTTGCTTTTGTTGTTGCATTTTTAACTAAGACTGCAATTCAATGCCCTGCAGGCACTGGTAGTAGCATGGACTAGTCATTGTGTAAAATGGACATATGGGGATATTAAATAGTAAAATTCCTTGCTCTGACTAGAACTTCCCACACTCCAACTTCTTCCATTCTTTAACTTCTTCCAGTCTTTTATCTGCTCTTTCAATGATTATAAATCATTCTGCCTCTCTCTAGTCTTTTTTTCCATTGACCTCAAGAAGACGTAGACTAGATTTCAAAGTTGATCATTTCAGGGAAGCTCTTTATATATTCATATTTCTTTTGACATCTTTGTCTCCTGTCCCCCAACATGTGTTATACTTCTTCAATCCTGGGGAAATCCCACTTTTTTACTTTTTAGTTTTTGCTTCAAAGCCACATAATGTGCTAAAAATAGTCCTGAAGTTCACTTGATTAATTCCATGATGAAATCAAATTTCCAACCTGGGCCCTGATTTTATTGTTCAACTTTCCCACTGAATTTCTATTACATTCCCCATCTTGTTTATTATACCCTTTTTCCCAATCTTCAAATCCCTGATGACTTTTCTGATGATGACCTTCTCTGTTAATAGTGCAGAACTGTCTACCTGAAAAATTTCCCATAGCTCTCCTTCTCTTCACTGCCGAAATTTTGTTTGACATCAAATTCTTTTCTATCTTCTCTTTTGGCTTTAGAGATATATTTTTCTCCCATTCAAGAGTAACCCTCTCC